ACAAAAGGTACAAAAGACGACTGTATTTTTCTAAGTAGTCTAGACGAACATCGTTCTATTGAAAGTAGATAGTAAGAAACTTACATTGTTCTTGTTGAAGTACACTCATCGATGAAACCAAATACGTAATTGTTTGACTCAAGATGTTGCGGGTTATAATGTCTATATCTCAGATCATAAGTTATGTGGTCACGTTCCAATATATATAACCATCTTATCTTTTCTAAATAGTACTATATATTATACGATTCTACTATAAAGTCTTGGAACCCTCTTAATCTTGATATTATACATTCATATACTTATAGAACCTATTCATATCTTGGTACGCATGATGTCCCATCGGCACGTCCCGTCTAATCATTCACATGCTTTTTCTAGGTAGTACTAACAATTTTTTCGTATTCGTAAGATGAAACTTTTGAAAGGATTCCCCAAGATGAGGCTGGCACGAGAGAGCTCATTCGTCGAAGTGTTCCTCTCCTTGTCTACTACATGTCACAAGCTAAATTATTAACCATCCCCTCCAATAGTTTGTATTTTTGTATCGCAAACAACATATATTATTCAAATTTAATGCTTTTGTTGTTTTGCTATATGCATATATTGCAATTATTTTAAATATTTTTGTCGTACACATTAATTTATAATAATAAAACTGAAAGTACAAATTTATAGTAATCTACTAATGTTGTTCCAATAGGGTAATGTAATGATGAAACCCGTGAGTCTAAAGCTCTAAAGACAGACAAACTAGCTAAACCCACTTGCCAACAAGTTCTTAGCCAAACCAAAAAATTAAATCACACAATCGATACTAGATTCAATGTATTAGTCGCAGATGATTTGATGTAACAATTTTATTTTTTTCTATTTAAAAGAGAAACAACTTTTAAGCCTACTAGCTATGACTTAGAATTTAGGTGAGTACGGAGACGAATCAAATTGGCTAACAAAAATGTCACCTTTTCATGTCGACTTCACCAATATTCACACTCAACAAAATAAATAACCTCAAGAAATTTTCTTGTAAACTCATAAAACAATCTCGTACATAAAGCACAACGTACGCATACATAAAACAACCAACAATATATATTTTTCTCATATGTATGGTACACAAACAACAATTCCATTGTTATCTACCATTGATAAATGTAATCAAAGTACCTAGAGTAGTTGGTTCTACCATGTTAATAAAAAGGTGTGATGAATTAGTCTAATGGTAACAAATAGAGTCGACATGAGAGTTTCAATATGAGTCAATTTGGCCGCCATTGGAGTCTTTTAGAATGATAAGTGAATATGGACCCCAGCGATATCGAGAAAGATATGTGCTGTCTCCTCAGTCCTCTCTATGCTGATAAAATAATATAAGCACAACGAATACATAAACATACATTGCTCTTTCCTTATCGATCTTCTGAACAATAATAATACTATACAATAAAAACACAAATACATAAACAAACATACATTGCTCTTTCCTTATCAATCTTCTGAACAAAAATACTATTATAGTATGATTCCAAAAAAAAAAATATTATAATAGTAGTCTCTTGTCTTCTACTTTTTTAATTTATTTTTGGTAAAAGTTGAATTATACTGAGGAAGATGATGAGGCTTGACAGAAAAAAATTAGTACTATTTATAGTATAATAATCTTTTGGACTGTAATATCAATACTATAATATATAGTTGTGCGTGGCCTGTCTTGTTCCTCTCTTTACATTACTTTACTTTACTTTAACATTGTTAGTTCGTGTTGTGTACTGTACGGACTTAGCATTGTTAGTTATACACTTGTAGTAACTTACTACAAATAGTCTCTCAGTCCAGTCTCCTCCTTTTAGTAAACAGTTTATATATAGGACATTTGAGGGAAATTGTGGTATAGTTTTAGTCTTTTAGTACTTACTACTTACTACTAACGAAAAAGATTGATTTTTTATTTTATTGTGGCAAAAGATAGGTATATTATTTTATTTTTAGTTTTTTTTTTTTGGCAAGGAAAGATAAATAGTTTTTTTTTCTGCAAAAAAGTTTTGAAAGAATTTATGTCTTTTTAGTATTGATGATACCTAGAAGTAGAACTATGTGTGTTAAAATAAATCTCTTTCTTTAATAATCTAATTTCACAAAAGAAAGTTGATATATCTATAGTATGTGCATCAGATAATATAGCTACTCAATCTATATGTATACAACTTAAATCAATTTAATTTCCGGACAATAGTTTTTTTTTTTTTTTTGTTTCCTAATGTGTGTTTGAACATACTCAAAAAGCTCTCTACACTTTCTTATAGAGAGAGTTTTGTCATCGACGAAAATGTCGTTAAGTTTCTTTGTTCATATTTTTGAAGGTTAGAGTTGGCATTCAAACTGATACTGATTAGACAAGATCTTATAGCTAGAGGGGAAGATGATGTAACATGTTTCGAATCCTACCATGAAGGTAAACATGTTTTTTCTTTTCTTGATTTGGGATATTTGGTTAATGTCTTCTAATCTTCTCTATCACCATGACCTATGTAATCTGAGGGCTGGACGAAGATGATTGATCATCTCTTCTAGACTAATTCAAACTATCTATGGAAGCATCTTCATAGCTAGCCAAAACCTTCATACGCAAAATAATTGCGATGAAATATAATTGTATTATATATTCATATATCAATTACTTTAGAATAATTTTATATGATATCTTTACAGATTTGTATATCGTAAAGTGGCATATAGATATATTGAATACTTTATGAACAGTTAAAAGCGGTTATTTCATTATTCTTTTCACTGTTCATTAATTAAGTTTTAATATTGGAAAGTTGAATTATATAATTAAGTTATTAACCATGATTTTTTTTTTGGTGAGGCGTTATTAACCATGATTTGATAAATGAAAGGCTGGCTATTCATCTTCAACCTTTTGGCAGTTTTAACATGTCAAATGGTCGGTTCAAATTTGGATCAGCCTTAGCCAATATAAGTCGACTTCACAAAAAAAAAATAACAAGTATTTAATTCAAAAATATTATATTATTAAACAACTTTGGATTCAGTTTCAGAATTTCATTGTTCAAGTTAATAGATTTGTCTATGACCTATACAAAAATGGTAAAAAGTTGCGATATAAAAACCAAACGGACGAATGAATACATTGTAATTTGATGGATACTAGAGAACAGTGAACACAACAATCCAAAACTCTTTTGAGCTACAATGCAAGAGTAAATGAATTAGTATTCACTAACAATATTACCCATTTCGTAGTCGATCCATTCTTGATTCTTCAATGACATTAGAGAGGAAATTTAGGAAATTTTGGTGAAAACTCACGACATATCTACTCTTGTCAATATAATGGTCCCACAGAGTTAAAAACAATATGGTCCAAAATTTCAATTATTGTATAAGGAGACAAGCCGACTTAATTCTCGTAACTTTTATAAGTAAAATAAAAAGTAGACGCATTTTTTTTTTAAAAAAAAAGAAGAAAAATAACATCTTTGGATAACAATTTAACCAAGCCAAGTGAAACCTGACCATGTTCCAAAACCCTAAAAGCATTAACATAATGTTAAGGTTAATAATATATTTATATATTAATGTACACTTATAAAACTGTTTTAATTAAAGAAAATTCTTTGGTGACAAGAATAAGAGATTTTGGCTCAGTTGAGCTAATCTTCTCATAGTAGTTGTTGATATTAAAAAAAAAACAAGAAAGTGTTGAGACGTTTGGATGATTCAATGCCAGCATCAGAGTTAGTTAAGTGTTGAGACCATGTCAAAATTAAACTATTGAATTTACTTTTAGAATCATGACACTACTTTAGCGTCAGATAGACAGATACGATGACCTGAGAGCATTATATGCAGAATTATACGATCTCTCTTTTTTTTGTTTTTGTTTGTTTTATCACTCTATCTAGCTATTATGTACATATTTTGCGTGTATGAGTTGGAAATCTATGCTACTCAGAAGTATATAAGATTCAACTTATCATACATACATATAATGTTATATATTCAATATTTACAATAAAGCTTTCAAACGGAAGCGTGCAATACTACAATTATAACTTAGAAAATTGCGATGCGGTTCTAATAGTAATAAAAATACATATATATAAACATATTTTGTTATTACTAAAACCACACCGTATAGTATGATTCAATTTTATTTTTTTGGGAACATAAGTTTATTTTCTAAGCCAAAACGGATTTTGTTTGTATGTTAGTAATTCATACAGTATATATGACATATAGTGGAAGCATAAATACAAGTAAGAGTATAATAAAAAAAATTATATCATCAAAATACAGTGGTCAGTAAGAAAAACTTAGTGGTTATTTCTTGAACAGATATGTTAATAAAATACACCGAAAAAAAAAAAAAGATATTACAACCTAGAGAATCACCTTGTATTTTTGGCACTTTTTATGTTTTTAATGTAGACAATGTAAGAAACCTTACTTATTTTATGACTTTATATACTTAAAAACATATATCAACACAAACACATACTTCAAACTTCACCAAAAGAGTGTAAACATATAAAATCCCACTAAAAGTCAGTCTCTTATCTCTGGTTATTATCCTGCTTCCTAAAATCAAGAATCTGTTTTGCTTGTCCTCTTTTGAAAATGTATATTATGCATAAAAATAGTAGCAAATTTCATAGCTAATTTAATATGAGTTTAGATCTGGGACCATTTAGTTATATACAAAAAAACAATGTCACTTACAAATATCTTGATCCATCATATCTATGCATATTTCTGGAGTTCTAAGAACAAGAGCAGTATAAATCAATATCATCACATCTTGATCTACAAGATATGCAAATTTAGGATTATATTCATGAGGCTATTCATATAAGCAAAACATAAGAGTCAATCACACAAGAAAAGAAAGGGTAGATAAACTAATAAAAAACCCTAATATAAAAAAAAAAAAATCAAGAACACCTCTCTTAAGAGCCCTAATTGATCAAGAACACACTCCAAAAACGAAATGTGACTAAAATTGTTAAGAAAGATCGATCTTCTTGAATCATAAAAAGTGGTTAAATTGAAAACATACGATTATTTAAACAAATCATCTCAAACAATCATCAGAAACAAAAGATGACTCGCAATAAAACAAGAAATTAAAACAAGAAATATCAACCAAATCAATGGATCAATAGCTCCACAATCTCTCTCCGTCAGAATTCTCCGGTGAATCATCTGACGGAGGAGATCCCATCCACGGTGGAGCCACCATCATCCCCTTGGCCATATCAGCTAGCAAACCAGGCATGTTCAATAGCTCTTCTTCGTCCACAAACTGTGTATTCGAAGATCCCGCCCCATCACAAACTTCCTCTTCCTTCTTTTCACCTCCCTTCACGGCAGCTGCACTCGTAGCCGCACACGCACCCGCAGCAGCAGCAGCCGCGGCCGCAGCGCATCTGATATGAGCTGCGGAAGAGGAAAGGGGAATGGGGTAAGATCCCACGGAATCCGGGAAGTTCAAGACGGTGTCTCCACCTTTAAGAGCTAAAGCCGCCACGTCATAGGCGGCAGCAGCCATCTCCGGCGTGGGGTAAGTACCGAGCCAGACACGTGTAGTCTTCTTAGGCTCACGGATCTCAGAGACCCATTTACCGCTCCGGCAACGGATACCCCGGTAAAGAGGATGCTTTTTCCGGCGAGAGATGTCGGGGTCACTGGCCATTAAAGTGATGATATCATTACCAGTTGTAGTAGAATTACAAGGAGCCGCAAAAGAAACAGTAGTAGTAGTCGTAGTAGTAGTAGAAGTGATACTATCAAGTGGACAAGGGTTTTCACACGTGGCAGAATCAGAGAGGCTGTCACCGCACGTGCGAACTGGCACAATAGTAGTAACTGACGATGAAGAAGCTTGGCTTATAGCTTTAGGTTCAGTGATTGCATTTTTAGGGTCACCCATATATATATACTATGTGAATGTTGTATGTATATAAGTAAAAATAATATAGAGATAGGTAATTAAGTAAAAAAAAAACTAGAAATGGATTAGAAACGAATTAGGGTTTGTTTAGTGATTAGAAATTAAGGTTGTTAATGGAGTATATATATGAAATGAGAGTGCGTGGTTATTGCGTGGGGTTTCCCTAAAGTGTGTTTTGTTTGTGTTTGTGTTTGGTGGGGATATTTTTTTGTACTAGCTTAGATGTAAGAAAGTAAATTATAATTTTGTTGTTTGTAATAATAGTCAATGAAGATAACGGATCCAGAAATATGTATATGTGGTGCGACTACAATTCTTTTTGTATACTATCCCAATCACAGTCACAAACTTATTTTGATTTTGAGTGGCGAAAACAAAACAATGAGACATTGAAAAGGAGAGAGAACCATTTTAAATTTCCACATTCAAGATTAGGGATACAAGATTATATTCAGTTACGTGTAGACGTGTAGTTCATTTTCTATACATGATACATATTACATATCTTGTTTATTGTGTATCTACATGAAAATGAGGTGAAATATATTTACATATAGGCTAAATGGCTAATATGAGTCTATGACCAACAACAATAACAGCAATAACAAAAACTTACATAGGCCTAAGAAAATCTGAATATGGATCCTAGCTAGATTGAGGCCCAATAGCTTTATATTCATATGAATCGTATATAAAAGCTTACCTTAAGTAATTAGAATCACCTTTGGATGCAGAAGCAGCTGCCTATATTCATGTGTTTCTAATCTTGGTTTTGAAATTAAAAACTTACTTATACAAAGCCATGACCCAAACTTACTTATAAAAAAAACTTATTTATCTAATGCCATGGATTATTATATCCTAAAATCTTAAACTCCACAATGACAAATTACAATCCTAAAAGAGAGGATTGGATCAAGAGGATTAGCCGATTAAGGCATTAAACATGAAAATAAGTTGGAACACAAAATATACATGGGCCTGGATAAGTCTATTCAAAAGTTAGGTTTAGGCCCAATAGACAATATATTTTTTTGGGCATACATTACAATACATCTTTTAACCATGTTTGAATATAATTGTATATTGTTATTTTTTAAAAAAAAATTATGCTTAAAAATTTGTAATCAAGTAGTAACGTTTTCAATGGTTTCATATGGCTTATACGTAAGCTAGAAGCCTTAAAAACCTAACTAAACGAGTCTTAAGAACATAAATTTTCACAATAGATCTTGACATGTCCATATGTCAACTATAATATTTCGTAAATTCATAAAAGAGATAAACATTACTATTATAAATTAACCTATACAACTACACTAGTCTAGTACAGTTGGTAAAAAAATATGAAAGAATAATAAAAAAAAAGATGAGGGTGAAGCAGACACGCAAGTTACACACACTTAACACTTAAACAGTAATAAAGCATTTACTCCAACCAGATTGGGCTTTTCCTGACCCCGCCGTGTCTGCTTTCTATAACCTACTGTATTCTCTTAATTTAATATATTGATTTGTTTTTCTTTTAAATAAGTCATTTTTGGAAAGCAAAAAAAGAAAACTATACGGTATATATATATATATATATTAAGAATATATAATACTATTTGTTCAAAAGATTTTCTACAAAAAGATATTTATCATTTTGATAAAATTAAGAACTAATTAACTGAATTAAATAACACTTTTTTATATAGCAACAATTAAAACTAATATAAATAGTAGTATAAAATAACTTTCTCATTTGTCGAAAACATTGTGACCTATACGGCTATACACAAAAAAAAACGCATGAGTCGTTCTTTTTCCTAACCATTGGAGACGACGACGACTCATACCAATTCAATAGGCTATATAATTGGAGATGAGGGAGAGGAGGCTGCGGGTGGACGTGGGAGCAATGTCTATAGGCTTATGTTGTCTTCGCATTCTGATCATATTGAAAACGCTAATTAAGATTACGTTATCTTATGTTTTCTTACTCACTCTCTCCCTAGTGATGATCCATGTGTTTTTTTATATGTTGTTTCCATCAATATATGTTAAACTCGTTCTCCATTGTTTTAAACTTTGAACAAGATATATATGATTTTCAAAAAAAAAGGTCTCGTAATCGGTTTAGTTTAAGTGTTGGAGAATATTAGACCATCATCAACGCTGGGTTATTAGGTGATTCTTAGGCTAATCTTAGGATTAAATTTAAATCAAAATACAATTAAAATCATAAGATCCGTATATTATATAAGATCAAAATGAGGATGGAAGAAGTGTATACTCAATTAAATTACTAAATATATTTAACGATTCATTTTTTAATGATTCCCATTGATGATGCTCTTATGATAGATACATCATTAGTTTTTTCAAAGACCAAACAAAAAAAAACTAATGATGTTACCCCACGGAAAAAATATGAATGTACAGTGAAAAAATGTTAACCCACGGAAAACCCACGTGATACTTACAGCTTCTTATAAAAAGGCCACATGCTAAATATTGTTTTCATTTTTTTTTGAGATGGTTTTATTACTATTTCTTATTTGAATTATAATATTTATTTACTTGGTTCACATAACTCATATATACTTAATGTTGATTCCTAGTAATATTATGTGGGATACCTAAACAAAACATAATTAGTTTAAGTGATGTACAAAAAATTAAATGAAGTAACTTTGGGAAAATTCTCAGAAATACAATTGAATTAAGAGTTATTTTCTAAAAATACCATTATTAATTATTTTTTTTCCAAAAATACCATAAAACTAAAACTAATTTTTTAATCATTAACACTAATCATTACCCCTAATCTATAACTTAAATCTAGAGTAGTCGATGTCAAAAAAAAAATCTAGAGTAGTCAATCTGAACCCACAAAAATAAATTCTTCGCTCTGAAAATTAATTTTTAGGTTTGCGTTATTTTTGAAAAATAATAAGTATGGTATTTGAGAAATTTCTCCCCTTAATTAATGTGTATGATTAAATATTACATATATACTCTTTAGAAAGAGGTGATTTATATGCCAGCAAGGCATGAGCACAGAAGAAGAAGATCAAAATCAAGCTTCCCCATGTCTTACGCGCGTCCGGTTCGTTTATTGAGTCACTTGAGTGGGTCACACAACCGTTGCCTTATAACTTATAAAGTCTCACTTCACTTCACTCTTCTTCTTCACTTACCCCAAAAACAGAGCAACCTCATAGAATCACACTAACCTGAAAAAGCTTCTTCTCTATTCCCACAACCAATTTAGCAAACACAATTCCGAGGTAATTTTCAGCTTTTCTTGTACTATACATTTGTGAAAGGCTTTTTTTTTTTTTTTTGAAATTTTCAATTCTCTGTTCTTCTTTTTTTTTTTTTTGTTTCTGACATTATACTCTGTTTTATAGTTTATCCTTTTAACTCAATTAAAGCGTGAATTCACTTAGAATTTTAAGAACCCATGTAGGTAGATTTTGTAAATTCATGTTTTTGAATTCGGAATAGTCGAAATTTTGAATTTTTATGCGTTTTTACTTGTTCTGCATTTTACTCTGTTTTGAACTGAAACAGAGTTTGAAATGAGTTTTTTTATAATATTAAGAACTCGAGACGATAAAATTCGTCAAAATGTTAAGTTTTTAACAGATTTCTAATTCGTAAACGTCGAAATTTTTTATCATTCTTGTTTTTTAGTTTTGGATAACAAACATTTTTTATGCTCTGTTTCATCCGAAGCAGATCGGAGATGGAGAAAGACGATATCATCGTGGCGGGAATGAAGCCGAAGAAGCGTGCAGGACGACGCATTTTCAAGGAGACACGTCACCCAATCTACAGAGGAGTGAGGCGTAGGAACGGAGACAAATGGGTCTGCGAAGTCCGCGAGCCCATCCACCAGCGCCGAGTCTGGCTCGGAACTTACCCTGCAGCCGAGATGGCGGCACGTGCTCACGACGTGGCGGTTCTCGCTTTACGCGGGAGATCCGCGTGTTTGAATTTCTCCGACTCCGTTTGGCGGTTGCCGGTGCCGGAATCCACCGATCCGGACACAATTCGTCGCACGGCTGCCGAAGCGGCGGAGATGTTCAGGCCGCCGGAGTTTAGCACCGGGATCACGGTTTTGCCTTCGTCCGGTGAGTTTGCAGCGTCGGACGGAGAAGGAGTCGCCGGAATGATGATGAGGCTCGCGGAGGAGCCTTTGATGTCGCCGCCGAGATCGTACACTGACAATGATATGAATACGAGTGTGTACGCTGAAGAAGAGATGTATTACGAAGAATTGTCACTTTGGAGTTACTAAAAAAAAATACAAAAGTATACGTATTTTTCGATACGTATATAATTGGAACGTAATGTAATGTATGTATGTATGTATGTGTGGTATGAGTAACTTAGGTTTTCCAGGGGTTTAAAGATCTTCTGTATGAAGTAGAAGGTTTCTCTCTAGGATGGAATAATTTTGTGCAAAAAGATTCTTGGAATCTTTGGTGTTTGTGCTTTTTGGTGAGGCAAGTCTTGTATTGGGTTTGCTTTGCTTCACGTTGTATATTATGCAAAATAAATGGGGCGTAATGATGGGCTTAGATAATGATAGGCCCAGCCTATGTTAAATGTTTTGTTATTTGTTTGTGTCTGTTAACCTAGTTTCCTAGGGGATTACCATAATGTAATATATCAATTAGTAAGTAATGTAATGTAAAAAAATTATGTTATCGATTACCTTTTTTCCAACTGCAAAATTGTGATAAATGAAGTTTGAAAACCCTCTTTCAAGAGGACACATTCACAACACATCAAAAAAAACTTCTCATGACAAAAAAAAAAAAAAAAAAAAACTTCACATAACATACAACATTCCTAACTAGGAGAAGCACTCAAGAAATGGGCTTTGAAAGCTCATTTTCGAAAACAGATTTAAACAATGGACCAAAATCTAAAAGGCCCATAATGTTAGAAGACTTGGTTTTAATTCTATGTTTCTGAAGAAGAAGATATTTTTTTTGTTGTCTTTTTCTTGTTTTTGGTTTCATATTTACAGAGAAAATATGGATTCGCCATCTCTGTCACTTCCCATCGGTTTCTTCTGATTGTTTGTTTGCCATTTTCAGCATTCTTCTGCTGCGTTGGAGATTTCAATATTATTCTTATAGAGAAATGAAATGGCAAACTCGAAAGTAAAATAAAGCTGTGTTTACATATTATGTTGACTAGAGTGTACCCATCATTTTGTTGTCGTCAATAATATTAGATTTTAACATACCCATCATCCATTTTGGTTACAAAGTCATAAACTTTCTAATAACCAGAAAAATCTTAGGATAATTAAACACACACTAATTTTAGGTTCTTAAGAAAAAAACAAACGAATTTTTTTTACCATTAGGGTGATAGGACTTTAACCCTGCAGTAAAAAAAAAGATAACAAAAAATTTCTGAGTATATTTTAGGGAGAGTTATCTCTAACATGTGATGTGAAGGTCTCATTTCCCAAAGTTTTATTTTCTCTTGTTGCCAGTGACTATTAGCCAATGGTCACAAATGGGATCATTACACCAAAGACAAAGGTGGTCTTATTATATAGAGCTTTTTTTTATAAAATTCAAGTATTTAACTCATGATATGATCTTTTCACAAACAAAAAAAACTTATTTGCAGAAAGCTTATCTCTATAAAGCAACTTTTTAAAATAATAGCTTTTGCATAGCTACTTTAGTTTCTTTTTTTTTTTACTAAGATTTCATTATTTTCATATATATGTAAAAAGAGACTAATGACATGTGACAATATAATTTCTCTTTTTTTGCCTACACGTTTTCACTATAACTAGATTGAATCGGATCCTATAAAGCTGATCTCTATTATAAATTGGTTCCCACACAGTACTATAAGTTAACTTTGTTGTCGCAAACAAATTGAATAATGGACTACATGAACAGTTGAACACGAATGGGTGGAGTGGATTACGTGTGTTTTATTTCAAGTTAGTGGCAAATGTTTTGTTTATCAATTTTCAAATCCGCAGACCAATTATTAAAGCCAAGTTCCTTTTTTTGTGCGGCGATTCGGCAAACCCGTAAAAGCAAATCCTTTTTATGTTGGTACTAGGACCATGAGTATTGTCAAGGGCACGAGTGGATTGGGTTGTTTTATTATATCAGTTGATGCCCAAGTAGGATTAATTTCTAATTCACTACTTTAACTGTGTTTTGTTTTTGACACTTATTCTCGATTTCAAGTTTAAAAACACTATAGATCAAGTAAGTAGTTATCTGCTTAAAGATTTCACTTTGAGTTCAATCAATCATAATCGACCACTTATAGATGTTTTTTGTGACAAGAAAATCTAGATTTTAAGTATTGAAGATCTAGATTTCTATGACACCAACTGATTTAGATAGATGATTATAAAAAACATACTAATCATTTCTTTCAAAGTTCTCTTCTACCACAAAATTTGTATATTTCTTTTGTTCCTTATTAATTCAACTTTTTTTTTTCTAAAAATGTACTTTTTAAGTTATATCTATCGTTTAGCTCAAAACTTATCTTCACAGTGTGTTAGAAGTACCAACTTGGATAGTGATAAAACCATTCACAGAAAAATTTGACCAGTTATTGACGATGAATTGTAAATTTCAAGAAAATTGTTAAATATTATTGGTTGAAAGTTTTTTAAAAATTGTAAATCACAATAAATTATGTATTTACCGTCTATTTTAAAAATACTTTATTGGTATGTGTGAAAAAATTAAAAATTTAATGACCTACAAACATATATAAGATTTGTTTTTTTCTTTCATATTTTGAAGATTTAGATCTTGGAAATGACATCATATAATATGTTTAAATAATATTATGAGAAAGAAATATAAAAAGTAAAGATGGTTTGCTTATTTTGTCTAAATAAACTTATACTTTTACCTTTAATGAGATGAACAGAGACCGTTTAGAGATGTGACAACTCATGTATATTTTCTCTTCTTATCTCTTACCCATAAAGTACTTTAAATATTTTATTTATCACTATGATATTCCTATTTGAAACACGGATTTTTTAGAATTTAGCATTCTAGTACCATTTTTACATATCTTATTACTTATAACACCATTTTTAGTTGTAAAAATACACAAACACCCTTGATTAATTTTTTCCACTTTAACCCACTTATTTTCATCTCTTTTATTTCTTTCTTTCTTTTACAAAACTTAAAATTTTACATTTCTCTTATTAAAAAAAAGTTAAAGATGTAAAGTTTCTCCAAAATCTCACTCCTTAACAAAACTTTAAACATCTCTCATACTCTCTCTTTCTACAAAACTTCACCCACACAATTGATTGAAGTGTAAACATTTGAAGTTGTAACAGCATGCCTACTTCTTAATAAACGTTCTTAAAGTTTATGAGTTTTTGAATTTGTCAAGGTTTTTGGATTTTTTCTTAACGAGTGGATGGTTATTTGTGGATGATTGTGTGAAAAGACGTGGATTGTATATATGTGGATGATTATAAGTATAAATAGATGTGGATTTTGATGATGTGTGGATAAATGTGGATTTGTTATATGTGTATGGTTGTATGTTTTTATTGGAGCCATTGTGAATGTGATGTGATTTTGATATACCATCGTTACTTAAGTTGGATATGGTGATGATGATCAATATAGTTTTATGTGATCACAAACGACCATCCATTTAACATCGACTATATATTCAACCAAATCTGAATAATGTTTATTATAATTATATACATAAATTATAAAAAATGGATCATGTATAGAGAAAACAATTATAATATATTATACAAAAAAATAATAATAAGGAAGAAAGATAAAACAAGAAGACCAATGAGAATGATAAATGAATATAAAGGAAGATAAAAAAAGAAGAATGAGAAAAAGACAAGAAAATGGCATAATCATCAAGAAAAACTAGCTAGGAAAAACAATAAAACTTAGGTTGTGAATGGTTCACCCGACCCGGACCCAGATCCGGAACCAGGCTCAAACAAAACAAAAGGTGGTTGTGGATCAAGTGTTTTTTTTATGTAAAAACAGAGTTGGTCCGCCGTGGTTTGTTATCCATCCTAAAAATAGAGTTGTCCAAACCGCTAACAGATTTGTTCATCCGGCTGATTTAACCATTCACACCCTTAAAATAATTTTTAGTATCACAAAATGCCTTAAAAACAAAATAGTTTTCTCATAGAGAGTGTTAAAATGTAGCTGTCCCTTAAGGTTTTAATTTTATATAAGTAATTTCTAATTATTCTATATATATATTATAAGTCTAAAGGAAATTATCTAACACTCTCCAAATACATGAGTCCTCTTATGTTTAAAGAAGTCCAATAAAATTATTTTTTAATTCTTAACAAGATTTGGAAAAAAAAAGTGAAATGATCGAGAGATGTGAAAACTCATGTATATTTTCTCCGCTTATCTTTTATCAATAAATATTAATATTTTTATTTATTTAATTTTTATGATGCTTATATTTGACATGCTCTTAATAATTTACTTCATATAATTAAATTCATATTATATCTTATATTTATATTTCTAATTCAATGATAACATCTAAGACTCTTCCAAATTCGCAAGTCTCCTTATAACAACTTTATTTGTTAACATTGTTACGGTTCATATGCCACATAACAAAATCATTAAGGAACCGATACCAACGGCCGCATCAAGGCTTGCCAGATGAAGATGGTTTACTGTTGGCTTATGTTGTAGAGTACTGAAGCTTTAAGTAACTTTATGTTTAACAGAAATACTAATGACATGCATCAAAAATATACATTTTTGTTCCATTTTTAAGAATATATGTTTATTATAAAACTAACTGGTTATAATTAAATCGATTGTTATATACCACCAGATGATCGTTAAATGGTGTGATGAGACACCATATAAAGAATGAGTTATTCAAATAAGTGGGATGAAATTTCAAATTACAGAAATAATCGAGTGTGATTGACTAACACTGCATGTAAAATCTATATCACACCCAAAAATATGACGAAAAAAAAAAGTGAGTTATTCAGTCAGTACGTAGATGACTAACCATTAATGACTAACCATTGTTTGCAAAATGAGATGTCATAAAAGAAAAACGAATGATGTATTATTATGTATGGGTGTGTCAAGTTACATCAACTGCGAACAAGAAAGCAAATAAACTTATTTTTTGGGCTAACTTTATTTATGTTTTTGAGTATTTTAATTTTATCATATATTGCTAAATGTCATCCTCTTTAATTAAGCTTGAGTTCCTAACTTTAAAACATTTCGAAAATATGACAATTTTACTCTTCAGTTTTAGTTTTAGATATTTTTAAATAATAGTAATTGACACAAACATTATTCCATGTACAAAATGTAGTAGTACTTTGGGAAACTCGCAAATGTAGAATTTTTTAGCAATTTTTGTGGAAACATTCGATCCATATCTGCAGAATCATTCTTGTAATGTTTAAAATCACAAGAATGAATGAATGATGTCCTTATAGATTGTGAATGTAATAAAATAAAATCTAAGCATATTTAGTAGTCATCAGAGAGATAGATATTTTGATAGGGATTAGGGAACATTATAAACAGAAATGAGTCAGAAACATGAAATCGTTTTTATAGTGAAACCAAGAATCTTGATATCATTATTATTACAAGTTGGAGTGAAAAAATAATAATATAGAAACTGAAAATAAAGAAAGTACCTCCTGCAACATCAGAACATTAGATTCTAGTGGGAAAATTATAGGCTGCTTTACAAAAAGAAGAGTCACCTCTTGCCCCTTCGTGTTTCTTTTTTTTTTTTTAGTTTTCTTTTTCACTTCCACAATTTTCGAAACAAAAACATTTTTTACTAGTACAATTTACTTATTTTTCTATCACGATTTAGTTTTTTTTTTTTTTCTTGTTGTTGTTGTTGTTGTAAAACCACAAGTGTATACTTATTTTTATTTCTGAAATTAGTTAACTAAATTAGTATATTGTACTCAAAATTTTGACAAGTTAGGAAAAATTGCACTAAATTATATTTCCGAATTGATAAAATATACAAACCTTAGAAGTTGACAAATTAGGCAAAAAAATAAAAGGAATAAAAGAATAAAACAAAACAACGAATATGTATGTAGTGTATACCAATTGTCGATTCATGTTGATGGGGTTGATCATCAGGTTCCAATGTCCAAAAAAAATAAACTGAGCGTAGAAATTACGCATCTTGATTAATTTTGTTTCTTGTGACTTTTTTGTCAATCAAGATATGAACATGAAATCAAGATTGAATTGTTTGTATTTTACTACTTTTGTCATTTTAAGTAGCCATTTGAAAAAGTTAGCGATCATATGCATGAACCATATTTATGGAGAGTACACGAGCATAAGTTAGCATCATGAAACGTTCTCTATTGAAGAAGTTGTCGTGTGATAATCAACAAATCCAAGACTCGTGCGTGTGTGAATTGGTAAAGAAGACAAGAAAAAAGAAAAATGATTATTATGTTTGAACGTAACGTTTTAATGCCATGCAAACTTTAAATGCAAACAAAACAAATGAAAACGTATATAATTAGATTATAAGGTTACGAATAAAATATGTTTTGGCTTACAAAATAAAATATTGTATTGAGTTGTAAGAAGAAGAAAATAAAAAGAGAGAAGAAGTAAAAATGGATAAATTTACAATTATATCCCTCTTTGACTGCTGTCGTCACTTATACTTTTTTTGTACGGTTGGGGTTCTTTTGGAAGACTTCAGGAGAAAGCTGTAATGAATGAGATAACTAATCAAACACTCGTTCAATTTTAAAATTGTATATAAAGAGTTTTATCCAACGAATTCCATTTATATTTAAACAATTAGTAACAAAATTATTTATTTTTTTTTTGACAAAAAAATATATTCATGGTGAAGGTAAATTTATTGCATAAATCCTTATCTTTAGGCTCTGAATGGTAACTGCGTTTTTTATTGCGGGAGAAGTGCGGTGCGGTTCAAATAGTAACAAAAATATATAGATATATATGTATATGTAGATATTTTGACACTGTTACAACACTGTTGCGCTGCGGTTTTGTAGAGCATTATGGTTACCATTCAGAGTCTTAGTAGTCTAGTCAGGTGAGGTGAACCTACAGAATGGGTCACCAAATTTTCATACTTTAATGGTTATTTATTAATTATTTTTGTAAATTTATTTGATTTAATTTTCATATCTATTTTCTTAAACCTAAATCAAAACAAATATTTGTTATTTTTGTTTGAATGTAAAAATGTACAAGTGTAATTATTCAGTTCATTTTTATTAATAAACTTTTTTTGTAATAGCTAATCACTAACTATGTAAGTGTTAACGGACAAAAAAAACAATGAATGAGATTTGTTTCTTTTGTGTATAATTTGCTTTCAGATTTCTTGTTTGATGGGTTTTGATTTGAACCCTTATTTTGTAACTGTATATTTGTGTTAGACCTTTATTAAAAATTCTTTGTTAAAGTCCATTACGGATGATAAATAAAAATTAGAATATATTAAAAAATGATAATATATGTTTTTTTGTTAAAGAGATAACAATGTGAATATGATGTAACAAAAAATTATGTTCCAATAAGCATGTTTGTTTATGTGGATTTATACTCTATAACATAAACTCATTGATATTATAAAGTTTAACAAATAATACTTATAACCACGAGGAAAAAGATAAACATAAATTTCCAATGTTTTATAATTCAATTAAGAACTAAAACAGAGCTACAAAATCACTAATGAAATTCATTTTTGGACAAAATGGAAATTAAATTATATAGAGTTAATTTAAATCACAACATTATACTTTTTAAAAAGTACTTAATTACTTTTTGTAAGTTGAAAAACTAGTCCCAAACTCGAAAATAATACAGCTAATAAATATAGTTTAAGGAAGGAATTTTTTAACTTTGGCTTTACTTCCCAGTTTCAGAGTTTATACGAATAAGGTAATTCGAAGAAACAGAAAATCATAAAAATTTATTAAACTAAAAATAAATAAAACCTCAGTAAGTAATTTTTGTTTTTTTTTCTCTCTTCCAAAAGGTAAAGTGTACTATTACTGTAAAGTAGGTAAATAGCGGTACAGGTCAAGGGGCAGTTTCGGTATTTCATCTTCATCATCATTCTTTTTTTTTTTTTTTTTTACTTCTCACATTCCAAAGAAGACTCATTGGGACTTATAGGAAGAAGAGCTTTTTTCGTTTTCTCTGCTTTCTCACTTTTTCCCGTTTCCTTTGGGAATACAAACGGCGGCTTCTCAAAAGCCTCCGATTTCGTTTTTTTTTTTCTTTCTTTTTTTCCTCTTTTTGTTGTTGTTCTTCTTCTTCTCCGGCTTCGTCCGTCGGAATCACAAACCGGAACTAAGAATCAGAGGTTTTGGTCTGTGCACTGTTTCAATTGGATCATTACGAAGCAAGATCCTCTGTTCGACGAAACAAGTAAGTAACTACATTGTTCTGTCTCAACCTTCTTCTGGGTTTTTCTTTCGTTTTTTACTTTTTTCGGTAATTTTGTTGTTTTTTTTTCTCTCTTCGTGACGATTTGAGTTTTTCGTGAATGATCAATCTCTCATACTTCCTATTCTTGTTCTTTTGATCGATCGTTGTCTGCAAATAGCTGATGCTCTTGTATAAAGCTTGTAGCTTTTGGATGGTTGTGAAAATTTAAGCTCTTTAGTCGATGCATGTTCTTATCTGAAATCTTCGTTTTGAGATCGTCTCAATGCAGAGAAGAGTTTTTGTGAGGCTTTAGAAGTTAATTTGAGAAAAGGGTTTTGTGTACTTTCTTTCTTTTGTTGGCAGTGAGATTTTTTTTTTCCTTTTTTTTTTTCTTTGGGTCCATGTATAATGTGTGTTCAAAGTTTGAACCTTTTTATGTGTGTGTGTGTGTGTTCTGCAATTTTTGTGTCTGAATAAAGTTTTCTCCTGTTTTGTGGGTTCATGCTAGATTCTATCAGAAACTCAATTTCGGATCCCCGCTTCTTCTTTTTTTTTACCAAGGCCAGTCACAGAGACAGATTGTGGCAACACTATTTGTCCACTAATAAAAGGTGTCTGTTTCTCTTTGGTCTTTTGGTCAGTGAAATGATAAAGATTGGTTCTTGTTTTATATTCTGCACATTAGATTGGTACATATAAAAACTGGTCCTTTTGAAGATTTCTCTCCTTTTATGTAACTTTGAACCCAATAGCTTGTAGCGGGCGACACACAATTATTCAGTGAGTTTGTGCTTACAAATTTGTCCAAAACCAAAAGTTGTCTGTTTCTCAGTGGTCAATATATTATATGTTAGATAGAGTAGTTTGGTTTATGTCTGGCTGATGAATTGCTTAAGATTGGTTTTGTTTCATATCCTGCACATTGGATTTGACAACTGATGAAAACTGACTTTTTGTTTACTTTAATATCTGAATTGGCCGTAATGATGATTTCTTATCTTGTAGGAGACTCTTTAGTATGGAAGACGATTATGAGGAGCTTCAGGTCCCCGAGGCAACTCTAACCTCAATAGGTTTTAGCATTTCAAATAACACTGATCGAGTAAGTGTTGTCCTTAGTTAATCTTCGTGGTTTGATTTTGAGTAGTTTGAGCATCATATATTTAAATGTGATGGTACATTGTTATAGGAAAAAATGGCTGTCTTAAAGATTGAATCAGCGAATATGGTGACTGATTCTCGGCTAGGGCTACCAAATCCGGATGCTATCTGCAGAACCTGTGGCAGCAAAGATCGAAAAGTCTGCGAAGGTATCATTAAGATCGAAAAGTTTTTGGCCAATATGGTTGCATCTCGTGGCTCATTTATGATTAGCTCCCCTGAATATGCTTCTTTTGTTTCCTGTTTAGGGCATTTTGGGGTTGTAAACTTCCAGTACGCGATAATTAACCCGTACTTCCTCAAGGAGATAGCTGCATTGCTAAACAAAATATGTCCGGGCTGTAAATACATTAAGAAAAAGCAGTTTCAGGTTCAAGAGTCCTTCCAAGTGTTAGTTGTTGGTTTTGTGTTTATGGAACTATATATATACTAATGTCGCCTTTGGTTGTTACAGATTAATGGAGAGCAGCCTCATAGATGTAGATATTGCACTGTAAGAGTTTGATTGAGAACTAAGTTTCTGCAGTTAAGACTTTGGTCTTACTCTAATTTACTGTTTCTGTTTTTGTATATCAGACGAATACCAGTTATCCTCCAGTGAAGTTTAGGGTAACTACTAAAGAAGTCTTTAGGCGATCGGGAATCGTTGTCGAAGTAAACGAAGAGAGTCTGATAAAACTCAAGAAACAGGGAACGAAAACATTGCCGCTTGACTATTGGAGTTTTGTGCCAAAAGACTCCAATATTGACGAGAGCTGTCTGAAAGAAACCAAACGTATCCTAACACATGCACAGGTACAGAATAGTGAAATGTATCATGGAGACTCGATGAATTGTCTTACATTTTATAGTTTTCTGAAATTTTCACTTTCTGTTTTGCAGGTTTATGCTCTGTTATATGGGATTGATGAGAGGCTCATCAAGAAGGATATCCCCATGTTCGACTCTCTTAGTCTGGCATCTTTTCCTGTTACACCAAATGGTTACCGTGTAACCGAAATCGTCCATCAATCCAACGGAGCTCGACTAGTATTTGTAAGTTTAAACGCTTGGTTATCTAATTTGTATCATATACAATGTTATTGTTCTTATCTTTTTCGGGTTTTTGTTACATTTTTTAAGGATGAACGGACTCGGATCTACAAGAGACTAGTCGGCTTCGAGGGAAACACACTTGAGTTGAGTTCTCGTGTGGTCGAATGCATGCAGTATTCCAGAGTAAGCAGTAGTTTCTGATAGATTAATCTCTTTTTCTTCTGTTCATCTATGAAGGTTATTGATTCTCGATTTTCACACAGCTCTTTTCGGAAACTGTGTCTTCGAGTCAAGATTCTGCTAATCCATACCAAAAGAAACCAGACACTCCTAAACTATGCGGTCTAAGGTTCATGAAAGATGTGCTGCTCGGTAAAAGAAGCGATCATACATTCAGGGCAATAGTTGTTGGTGATCCGGCCTTGAAGCTTCACGAGATTGGCATACCCCAGACGATCGCAGAAAGGATTCAAGTATCAGAGATTCTTAACGACTGGAATATGGAACGGCTTTCCGCTTTTGTTTTGCACAAGCTAATCGCGTTAAGGAAGAGGGAGGTGCATGTGAGAAGAGGAGATAGCTTGGTGGCTATTCGACAAATCAAGGACCTCCAAACCGGAGACAAAATCTCCAGGACTTTGATGGATGGAGACACAGTGCTGATGAACAGACCGCCTTCGATTCATCAGCATTCGCTCATTGCAATGTCAGTTAAACTACTCCCAACGACTTCTGTTGTCTCCTTAAATCCGATCTGCTGTAACCCGTTTCGTGGTGATTTTGATGGAGATTGTCTTCACGGTTATATTCCTCAGTCAGTTCAAGCAAAGGTCGAGCTTGATGAGCTTGTGGCTTTGGATAAGCAGCATATCAACCGACAGAATGGTCGGAATTTGCTTTCTCTTGGACAAGATAGCTTGACGGGAGCTTATCTGGTTAATGTTGAGAAAAATTGTTATCTGAATCGAGCTCAGATCCAGCAGCTTCAAATGTACTGCCCATTTCAGCTTCCTCCGCCTGCGATAATCCAAGCTTCTCCTTCGAGCACTGAGCCTCAATGGACAGGAATGCAGTTATTCGGAATGCTTTTTCCTCCTGGGTTTGACTACACTCACCCTCTGAATGATGTGGTTGTGAGTAATGGAGAGCTTTTAGCGTCCTCTGAAGGATCAGCTTGGCTTCGGGATGGAGAAGGGAATTTTATCCAGAGGTTGCTCAAACACGACCAAGGGAAAGTTCTTGAAATCATCCATTCCGCTCAAGAGATGCTATCTCAGTGGTTGCTGATGCGCGGACTGAGTGTGTCCTTGGCGGATTTATACCTTTCTTCTGATCCGCAGTCTCGGGAAAACTTGACTGAAGAGATTGCATACGGATTGCTGGAAGCTGAACAAGTCTGCAACAAGCAACAGCTAATGGTGGAATCTTGGAGAGATTTTCTTGCAGTTAATGGGGAGGAAAAGGACGAGGAAGAGGATTCATTTTCAGATTTGGCTCGGTTCTGCTATGAGAGACAAAAATCCGCTACATTAAGCAGAATTGCAGTTAGTGCTTTTAAGGACGCTTACAGAGATATTCAGGCACTGGCATATAGGTATGGCGACCAATCCAACTCTTTTTTGATCATGTCAAAAGCCGGTAGCAAAGGGAATATCGGGAAGCTGGTTCAACACAGCATGTGTATCGGTCTGCAGAATTCGGCAGTTGCTTTGTCCTTTGGGTTTCCGCGCAAGCTGACTTGTGCTGCTTGGAACGACCCGAACAGTCCACTTCGCAGTGCAAAGGGAGCAGACAAAACCGCTACTGAGTCATATGTTCCTTATGGAGTCATTGAGAACTCGTTTCTTACGGGTCTGAATCCGTTGGAGTCTTTTGTTCATTCGGTTACTAGTCGTGACAGCTCATTCAGCGGTAATGCTGATCTCCCAGGGACACTGAGCAGAAGATTAATGTTCTTCATGCGGGACATATATGCTGCTTATGATGGCACAGTGAGAAATTCTTTTGGGAACCAGGTAGTCCAGTTTACTTATGAGACTGATGGTCCCGTTGAAGAAATCACTGGTGAAGCACTTGGGTCACTTTCTGCTTGTGCATTATCTGAGGCAGCTTACAGCGCGCTGGACCAGCCAGTCAGCCTTCTTGAAACTTCCCCGCTTCTAAATCTTAAGGTCTTCTTCTTCTTAATTTGTTTAATCATTTACACCTTATCTTTTACAGTTCTCTAAGTAGACTTTAATCTCTTTCTACAGAATATCTTGGAGTGTGGATCAAAGAAAGGTCAACGAGAACAGACGATATCTTTGTATTTGTCTGAAACCCTTTCAAAGAAAAAGCACGGGTTCGAATACGGGTCACTGGAGATCAAGAACTACTTGGAGAAACTTAGTTTCTCAGAGATTGTTTCAACATCTATGATAATGTTGGTAACATTAACTGTCTCTATGAATCTTTTTTGGTTAAGGGCTTCTTTTAACAAAAATGTTTATTGTCTTCTTGTTTCATAGATTCTCTCCACGCACTAACTCGAAAGCACCATTAAGCCCGTGGGTTTGCCATTTTCATATCTCTGAGGTACAAACTCATACACATATAAAGCCACAGACATCTATATATCAACAGATTCTAATGAACCTCTTCTTTAATTTCACAGAAAGTACTGAAGCGGAAACAACTTAACGCAGAATCTGTTGTTTCCTCATTAAACGAGCACTACTCGAGCAGGAACAGAGAACTGAAGCTTGATCTAGTTGATTTGGATATACAATGCACGTAAGAACATCCTTGAAATTGTAGCAGACATGTTTTTTTTAGCTTTTTTATGTACTTATTAGAAACTGATGTGTTATATATTTATGTGTTGTGGATTAGAAACCACTGCCCTTCAGACGATAAGGCGATGACGGATGATAGCTTTTGCATCACGGTGACTGTAATCGAAGCCTCAAAACCGTTGGACCTGGATGCTGTTCGTCTCATTTTGATCCCTTTTCTTCTTGACTCTCCTGTCAAAGGTAAAATTGGATGAATAAAAAGAGTTATGTGATCTGGTTTTGTTTTGTTAATATCGTTCTTAAGAGTTATGTGATCTGTTTTTGCAGGTTACCAAGAGATCAAGAAGGTTGATATATTGTGGACCGACCGTCCAAAAGCGCCTAAAATGTACGGGAATCATTTGGCGGGTGAGCTTTACTTGAGGGTTACAATGAATGGAGATCGGGGAAAAAGAAACTGTTGGAGCTCTCTCGTAGAAACCTGTCTTCCCATTATGGACATGATCGACTGGAGCCGAAGCCACCCTGATAATATCCGACAATGCTGCTCGGTTTATGGAATAGACGCTGGACGGAGCATTTTTGTAGCAGTCAGTATCGGCTTCTTTTACAATTTCTTCTTTATATTGCGTCTTGCAGCTTCTATAGTTTAAGTTTTTTTTTTTTTTGTGACTGCAGAATTTGGAGTCCGCGGTGTCAGATACCGGTAAGACGATACTAAGAGAACATCTGCTTCTCGCAGCTGATAGTCTCTCTATTACCGGAGAATTTGTGGCATTAAACGCCAAAGGTTGGAGTAAACAAAGACAGGTCGAGTCCACGCCTGCACCTTTTACTCAAGCATGTTTCTCGGTATGTTTCTAAATCCCAAGTTAACGTCCATATTTTTTTCTGGTATACCAAGCTTTTATTGGATTTGATTTGATATTTATTGCTTGCTTAATCTCTACAGAGCCCAAGCCAATGCTTTCTTAAAGCTGCTAAGGAAGGTGTCGTAGATCAGCTGCAAGGGTCTATTGACACCTTAGCTTGGGGAAAAGTTCCTGGTTTTGGAACTGGAGATCAGTTTGACATCATCATTTCGCCAAAGGTTAATAACTTTACTCTTTTTTAATCCATTTTCATCACAACTTCACTGGTCTAATTTAATGTCTTTATGGGTGCATCAGGTTCATGGGTTTACTACACCAGTAGATGTGTATGAACTTCTGAGTAGCATACCCCCAAAGACAGTGACGAAGCGCGCAACAAGCTCTGCGCCCAAATCAGACAAATTCAAGGTCCAGCCATTCGACATGCTTGATACCGCATTCCCTAAAGCTTTCAAGGCACTCAATGGGAAAGGGATTTCTCTGTTCCAGCTTAGAACGATGTTTACATGGGAGGACGTTGAGAATCTTTCCCGGTCATTGAAACACATACTCAACAAGTAAGGCAAAAAAAACAACCTCAGTGTCAAAGTTTTGATTTTTCTTTCTTTGCTGTTCGAAGAACCGTAAAGAATCTTCCTTTTGTTGTTAACCTTGCTGTTATATTTTGTCAGTTACGAAGTCAATGCTCCCTTGAGTGAGAGTGATGAGAATTTTGTCAGCATGGTTCTGTGCTTCCACCCCAACAGAGCCGAGAAAATTGGACCAGGCTTCCAAGGAATCCGGGTACATCATATATAAAAGAAAACTCATATGTTTCAGAATCCTTGAAAAACATAAAGATCCTGACCCGGTTTCTTTTCGCAGGTCGGTAACTCGAAGCACGGAGATTCCCGTTGCTTTGAGGTTGTAAGAATAGACGATACAACAGAAGACTTTTCGTATCACAAGTGTGTATTGGGAGCAACAAAGATCATTGCCCCAGGGAGAATGAACTTCTACAAGTCAAAGTATCTTAAAAATGGTACAGTCCAGCCCGTTGCTCTCTAAAACACCCGTAAAGAAGCAAAAGACAGGGTCTTATGTCGATATTATATAAAGTTGGAACAATGCAAAATGTAGGAAAGTGTGTGTGTGTGATTAGATAGAGATATTAGGGGAAAAGCCTTTTGGCTTTGCTCTAAGCTTCTTTTTGCTCCTTTCACTATGTAATACCTTTGCCTTCAACCTTAAAAAGGCTTAAAGGTTAATTACGTAGTGGAAGCAGCAACGAGAAGCTGGCAAAGGAGGCTTCTGTTCTGTTTCTGTTTCTCTGTTTGTGTAAACCATGAAATATCCGGTTTGACTATGATATATCCGGTTATGTTTCTGTTCAATCTTTACCCGGTTTAGATCGGTCTTCATAAAATTGCTTTATAATCCTCTTCCTTCTCATTACGTACATCTGATTCTCTTGGTATTGCTCTGTTGTTTTCCTGGTTTAGATCGGTTCATATAGAATTTGTTCATTCTTAACCGGTTTAGATCGGTTCTTCTGTTTCTATCTTATTAAGCTTATTTATTTCTTTGGTTATGATCTGTTTTGTCCTGGTTAAGATGAGTTCTTATACATCTGAATTTGTATCTATTTACAATCTTTGTGTATCCTCCGGTTATGCTACGAATGTTTCTGGTTTAGATCGGTTACGGTCCATATATCATATATTTTGTCTTTTCGTGATTGAATCATCATCCTTAAGAAATTATGTTTTTTTAAGGTTATAGAGTCGGAGTAATTAATCATTTTATCAAACAACTACACATTATTTTAATGTTTTTACATCATTATGGCTATACATCATAACATTAACTGTCTTTTTTAATCAAAAGTTAACATCACTAAAACAATCATATTCATCTTTATATGTTTTACTTTTACAGAATTGAATAGGACAAATAAAACAGAATCATTTAATTATATGAAAAGATTAAATTTCTTCAAAAGATATCAAATCCCGGTTTAATATATGAACCGATTCTTTCATTTCTCGGTTGAGCTCTGATTTTTCTCGGTTAGATCGGTTTTCGTGCAATTGGTAATCATCCATTGATCGATTAATCTCAATTTGTTTTTTTTTTTTTTTTACATTTCTACAAGAGACATTTGTCCCAAAAAGTTTCTAAAAATGGGAAAAACAAGAGGAAAGAAGCATACCACAAGATGTACTTGTAGGTCTAGGCACAAGACAAGTATTTGTATTTAGGCCTACCACACTATAAAATAAAATAAAATAAAAAACCAAAAACTAGTCACCTTTTGAATAAAATCCACATTTATTAAAAAAAAAACTTTTTTGTATTATTGTTTATCTCTTTTGTCGCAAACCGCAATTATTATTATTATTTTTTTTTTTGCTTTTCCATTTTGACAAAATATAGGGCCAATAGGATTTAAATGGTGTCAAGTTGCAGAAGTGTTGATAATATAGATGAAGTCTCCAAACTTCTATATAAAAATATTCATTTCCATCTTGGAGAGATTTACAATATGAGGAGGAAGGTAGTAATATTAACGAAGCAAATCAATCACAACATTTCTACTCGTACTGCTCAAAGTCGTCCACCACTCACCATGTCCAAGAGCATCTGGTATTACTTACTACTGGCACTAACACTACACTGCACTCACAGGAATTAGAAGAGCTGAGGTTATTATATAGGTTCAACTTATTATAAGTTGCAAATTATAAGTTTCTTCCAAATCAAGATCCAAAATACAGGCAAAACATGTGGTTGTTAATTTTTACAAAACTATACTGTGATGTTTAATTATATATTCTGAATATTGTAGTCATTGTTAATTTAATCATAAGGTTTTCTTTTAATATTAACGTATATTCTTTATTTTTAAACAGTAATGATATATATCTAAAAACAAATTAAAATTCTCTATTTGCGTCAATCAGCTAATACAAAAATTAACAACCAAATATGTAAGAAGGGCATGCACTAATTAAATCATTGTCTTGAAATTTTTTTTTTTTTTTAATTTGAACTAGTATTGATCTTCTCTCAATCACCAAGTAATCAAACCATCTATGACTTTTATATAGCAATAAAACGATATACACATTTCTAAAAAAAGGATGAAGTAGATTTTTCTAGAGAATTACATGCATGTCACCTTCTCACACTCTCTTACACAGGTCCACAGCTGCACTTGCTTTGGTTTTATCTTTAAAGTGGGGTTTGGTGCAAAGAAAGACACATGTCGTGAACTCATAGTGTCCACTAAAGGCACACACTAGTTTAGAACGTAGAAGAGAACCTTAGCAAATCAAATACTAAGAGTTAAAACTGTTGTGTCCACTAGAGAGTAGACGCGTAAATAATGAGTACAAAACCTTAGCAAATAATTATGCTTTACACTAACTTATTTAATACTCCTATTAAACCAGGCAAAAAAATATCTGACACCATGCAAAATCTGATACTCTAAGAAAATTATAAATAGGTGTCGTAAAAGCACTTTTATGTCGTGCGGCTTCAATAAAGTTAAAACCAAATCCGAATATACTCTTAGAATATACTTTGTTATATCGAAAAAATTATTGTCTAGTGTATGTATCATAAGGTAATTTATAAAAACCATTCTTTTAATTAACGTTTTTATCACTTTTTTAGCATCAATACCTCTAATACATTATCAATTTATACATGTATAATCAAAAAGAAAAGACATAGCAATAATTGAGCTAATATAAAATTTACGAATGTCACAAAGGTTGGACCACCGACTAATAAAAGATAAAATTTTTGTATGTAATTGTAATCATGCGACTCATCTTTAATTATGGGAGTAGCTAATCTTTAGGAAGCTTACATTTTTTTTTATGGAAACACTTTGTATGGATGATGAATACATGTTTGATATATCTAATCGTGAAATAACATTTTTTTTTACAGGTTTTTAAGATATAGTAAAGATGATATATTTTTCCAACTAAATAACTAACCTTTTCGACATATTTAGTAGAGATTTCAACCAAATAACTTATTTTTCTAATCTCTCGGGCTCTCGCTAAATAAAGAGAATACATAAGCAAATAATTTGGTACGTAAAACACTAAACCACTACAATATTAAATATATATATGTAAACAATGTTTTACAGAATTGGATCTTATGTGCTATTATGTAAACTTTTGAAAAAGAAAAAAATGAGTTTAATAAATATGGCTACATAATAATACTAATATGAGTTTCTGCTTATTTTTGGTAAGTGTTTTTGTCCAAAAATAGGTCTCATACATTTTGTCCTCACTATGTTTATTTTATATTTTGGGATCTACCTCACTATGGTTATTTTTATGAAACAATATGGAGAAAAAAGACAAATATCTGCCACCTAATTATAAAATTATATTCCAACTAAAATTGTGTCGTTTTCTTTTATGTTTTTCTCAACTTTAAACTATGAAAAAAAAAAAAGATACAAATTGAATACGGACACATGAGTCCATGACATATGTCTTTTACAAATATTCATTACATGAAGACAAATTGAATACCAACACATCATATCTACAACACTATTCGACTCCATCCTTTCTCATTTATATCAATACACATCAATTTTGAAGAAGCTTTAAAAAAATAGTTTTATTTTCCATTTCATTTACAATTTCGGATTATATGGTTATAATCAAATCATGTAATTTCCTATTAACGACAGAGAAATACCAGAACAATGGTTACATTTTGTACTTGTTTCCATAAGCGGCCGACTAAAATTTGTTTTATTTTCATTTACACCCTAAAACTTTACATTTGTTCCCAAAACCCCCAATCCAAGAAGTTTCACATAATTACGTAAAAGCTCCCCTTTTATTAAAAACATGCAATTTGAGGACTTCTCGGCAGCCACGATTTGATTTTCCACTCTTCTTTTCTTTTTCCTCAATGATTGGGTCCATCTGAGTAAATGCGATTGATGATACAATTTGCTCCTTATAAGATTTTGCGATCTACTATGATCAATTAGTCCGAGACTCTCTTCAAGATTCTCTTTTTTTGGTTTTTTCTTTCTGGGTTCTTCGTAAAAATCGAAGCTTTTCTGGGTTTGTGTGTTCTCAGTTCTTTTCGTTGATTGTTAACTCATAAAAGAATGATCTTTTAATCCAGATTTGTTTGTTTTTTCAGGTTTATTACGTTGATGGTCATCTATATCTCAAAATCAGGACAATAAAGTTGGGATTTTTCCAATCAAGTTTCTCACTTTAGGTATTGTTCTGTTTTTTGTTTTCTCGTTTGATTGATCAGAGAACGTAAAAGTTGACAGAAGAAGAGAATCTAGGGTTGGATGTGACTCCATGTTAGAAAAAGTTTAAAACTTTTTGGCGTTTTTTATATGTCTGTAAGGTGTGGAGTTTTCTTTAAACATGGCAAAAACTATTTGGCCTACTACTAAAGCAAGTTGGGCTGCTTTAGAAATCATGTATCATTGACTCCACTATTGATCTAATTTATAGTATAATATTTCACAAAAGTTTATTAGTTTTTGTGTAGGCCTTCCTTAATGCTAAGCTCGTGTGTTCTGATCTCTTTGCACTTTTTTAATCTTTTCTTTCAGAGATTTATATCTGTATAAGAAGAACCAGAAGAACCATCAGCTTTTTGTATTCAAGAAGAACCAGAAGAAGAAGAAGAAGGATAGACAGAGGTAATGAGTTTTTACTGAATGTACCAAGATCTCTGTTTTGGCTTCTGTGCTATAGAACAAAGGATCTTGGTTAATTGAAAATGAAGGAGTTTTGAAGTAGAAAATGAGCTGAGTTTTTATTGTTTCCTTCAAATTTTTGATTTGATTTGATTTGGTATTTTTAATGTCCTTAGTGATTTCTGTGTGATCGTATCTCACATCTAAGCACATGGCTTGTTGAGATAGCCAGCCATTTAGCCGCTGACTTTCGTGTAAATGTTTTTTATAAAAGTGTAACTTGAAGTTTTCTTGATTTGGTTTCTATTACTGTAATTTGTAATTGTGCTTGAGCACTACCACTCAGCACTTTCACACCAATCCATTGGAGGTTTATTCCTTTTAGATGCTTTATGATCTCTTCGTGCTTGAGTCATATTGTTTTTTTTTGTCCATGACTCTTTCTTTCATTTTCGCAACCGGATTCGCGTTAATCCCTTGAATCTGACTTGTGTGTTATGCCTCTTGAATCTATTTGCATAGCTTTCTTTGTGACTGTCTTGATATCTGACTCTAATATGTGTGATTGTATTTTGTAATGATCAGGTCGAAGTTTTAAAATTTTGGTTAGCTCCACTGGGTAAGGCTTGTTGTGGATTGGTTGATTTGTAAATCTCAATGTGAACTAATAAGTCTTCAGGAGCTTCTAGAAATGTTCTTTTTCTCTCCTTTCCATTTTGGGAT